ACAGCAACAACGAAGCAAGTGTTGTGGAAAGCGTAAAGCGGAAATGACCATGTTTTCACTGCCAACCTTTCTTTATCAAATGACAACCTATAAATCGTAGTGTGGGTGCCGCGATAAACCACGTTGAGGTTAGTCTTGATAGAACAGTGATTTTAAGCAAAGTTGAGGAAACATGAGTCTCAGAAGTTGCCAGAGTACTAACGATTCGTTGCCTCATCAATCAATAAGCCCGAAAGCAAACAAAATGCTTTACCTCGCAAACAAGTCATCGCCCAGTTTTCAGTAAATTCATCCTCCTTTCTTTCTCGTTATTGGGGTCATGCTAAATAAATAAAAGAAACTATTTTGTTTTCCAATGACGTTTTGTGTAGTACATTACGTTGAGAAACAGTGGGCAGCGTCAATCAACACAAGGAATATGCAGTATTGTAATAAAGAAGTGCGGCAGATTCAGATCTGAGTATTCAATATAATGCTGCTTGGCTGTTGATGGAAATAGGTCTGATTCACTATATTGTTTTTCTAGACTATTCGATAACTACTCTTTGACTGAATGAAATCAAGCCGAACAGTTCTCATCTGTGCCAAAACATATTCACATCATCATTGTATAGGTATATGTGACTTGAATGAGTCTCTGTGAGTCTAGATAGTAAATGTAGTTAAACCTAAATTGAAAATGTTGGTCCTGGAAAATATGACAAGCATCACTGCACTTAAAAAGCCGGAAAGTTTAGCACACAAAACTGACTGAGCAACCATCAATTAAATGATCAACTAAATGATCAATTTTTGAAGCTTCTATTTGTGTGAATCTCTCCATATATGTACATTTTCTAATTTGTTTTTATAATTTTCTCCAGTTATACATTTCAGTGCACTGTTCGATTCTATATGAGATGACATTATTTGTAATTTATTATTAATAACGGTATTTAGGCCTGAACCATGAGACGAAGGATATCAAAATGGACTTGATTCGGAGAAAGTGATTCATTTTTCAGTTTGTCTCAGATGTGTCAAGAGTGCCTTGAGTGGGGAATCATTTGACAAACGAAGCGCCAATATATGGAAAGTAAGCCATAAAATTTCAATCAATTAGTTTGTTAATAACTGTTGTTTGGACTGAAGAATAACTGTCTAAATATTTCAGATACGCGTCTTGACCCAGATATATCCAAACCAGTAGATTTGAGTAAATAAGAGAGTGTCATTGGAAACTCATAAATGCAGAAAAAATGGAAATTATAATGTACAATCTATTTTGAATTTTTTGTTTTTTGGAAAATCCCTCCATGTATGTATATTTGTGTTATGATATGACTGACTCTGTCTGTTGAGATTTTGGTACTCTATTTGATTCCATTTTGAGTTTTTATAAATGTATATTATTATTATTTCTATATCTTGTACTTATATTGAATTTTTTATGTTTCATTCGGAACTGTACATATGTTGTTTAAATTTGATATTTAATATGGCTACAGACATTTTTGGATTTCATACTTCAACAGTGACGGACTTGAAGCACAGAAGCAGATATCCAGCGCGGTAATTTGTAACTAGAAGGTGTATTATTGTTTGTTGGTTGTCTGTATTTCCATGTTTAATAAACAACGACCGTTTTCTCCCAGAATTATCGTGTTTTTGTTCCTTATTTGGGTCAACGCGCACGAAACTGCACCTATTCGAGGAGGAGTGAACTGCTACAGTAGAATATCCATTTATATATAATAAAGTACAAATATTATCATCTTAAATGGAATCGAACATTTTACCAATATATACCACTGTAGAAATCAATAAGGACAAATTACAAATGTCTACATGTGGGGATTTTCACAAACAAACCTTCCAGAAATGGATTCTTCAACCACAATGCTAATGTTGTTTGCTTAGTTCTTTAAATATGATAAACATCTTAATGAAACTATGTGACCTTTATTTAACATACATTGACGATATTATTTATGCTTGTTGATTTCATAATAACTAGAATAACACGTCCCAATTTTGTGATGTTGATAAATGTGAAAGTACAAAATTATAAAATGAGTAAATGTCAGTTGTAAAATTATCGTTAAGCAACATCCTAATTCTCTGAATTATAAAGATTTTTAATGTTTTTCTCTATAGAATTACATTTATTCATGTGTTCTTCACCAAGTGATCAAGTCTGTGAAATTTTAGAAATGTTCTAGGAATATATTCAATTTCATATAAAAATGTCATTCAAACATTTGAAAATACTTTACCACATAAGTAGTATGAAACAATAGCAGGTCAGTTTACTTAAATCATTTCGTAATTTTGGAAGACTCATCAATCAACTCGAGTGAAAGTAGTAGTCAGTGTGCATGTTCATATATTAAATAATATGAATAGTCATGGAGTGAATATTCTAGAGTTAAAATAAGGCGGAAATGCAATGGTAATGAAAAAGTAATTTTGTAGTTATGTCTTCTAACACGTAAAATGAAACACAAGTGAACGCAATGAAATAAATGAGTAGAATAATATGAAATAATTTGATTTCGTGTAAATGCCGCATTCCACTCACAGCATATGATACTTTAAAACGAGAATGATCATGAAGTACACATAACTTCAACTGATCGAACAACATCATGCTAGAGTAATGAGATTGTAAACATACGAACAGTGTTGTAAATACATATAATATGTGGAAGATCATAGATCATGGTACATTGCATACTTATACGTGTTACTTCAAAATAAGCACAGTTGACCGATCATTATTGCTACTTCTTTTATATCCTGTGTTTCCTTTTCCAGTTCCGTCAATTTTTTCTTCATAATTCTCAAGTCAACCACGAATTCTCAGCATTGTGAGTTTATTGGTTTTTCCTCATTTCATTTGATTAGAATCTTCTAAGTAAATGACATGAGTTGATTTTTCCATATAATGTTTCCTATCACCTTCCAAAGCTTCTTCCCATAAGCTCCGATGGAATCGATTAAGTTGCTGTTGATGGTTTTTCGCCGAATTATTTCGCTGAAAAACTGGTAAAAAATACTCATATATTCTGTTTAATGACTTTGCTAGATCCTCAAGTTTTTTTTGCATACAGTACAACTATATTGACATTAGCATTGAAAACTGTAACTTTGCTGTTGTATGATAGATCTGGGAGTTGCAGATGTCGTATAATTGTAGAAATGCAGCTCTTGCTTGCAATTCGGCATCAAGTCAACCTTTATAAACACTATTCAAAGTTGCTCCATCACTTGTTGTTTTTTGCGCCTTGTGTTGTATTGAACAATTACGCTTTTACTCTTCTATGTGCTGAGGTGTACTGCTGCTAAAACTGTAGCTCCACTGTTTGTTTTCTCCTACATTTGTTGTTTCATGTACTAGAGAATTGTCGGCCTGTTTGCAAAGTCGATCATCCGCTCAGTAAAACAGTCCGAAGATAATCATCAAACTTAGTATTTAACAGATTAACTGATTGTTTATTGTAAAGGCTGAACAAGAACTTTTGTCGAGGTTATTCAATTAAACAATAAAAAGTAAAATTTGAAAGATTTGATGCAAATGTTGCCAAAAGTTTCAAATCACTTCGTGTATTTATATGATTACAGATATAAAACCCACAGTTGCACAAATTGCAAATATATCACAATCCTCCAGTTCTTCAGATATGAAGGTAAACGTCGTCTAAAAAGCTGCATGCTGATAAAGATTTTATAAATTGCGACTTAATGTGTGTATGCGTACATGCTTACTGGCTTATAGCATGTCTATCCTATCATATACAGACAAAGCGAACTTTGTCATAATAAAGAGAAGGAGAGTTGGACTATCCTACCTCTCCGATTCGCTTCACCTTGCTTGTAAGCATTTCGATGTTATATCTGTCTGCATAAATGATTGATTATCCATACCGAAAATCCTTTGCATCTCTACAGCCATCAAAATAGGTCTTCAAAACTTTGAACATTGCAAAAATATTGATCAGTATGCAGCGTGAATATTTCAATGATAAAGTCGCTCCTATTGAGACACACGAAATAAAATACATCCTCTAGCAGTAAGTAATTATGCATTACGACATTGAAGGTATATCAAAGAGATCACCATTCACCAAAATTCCCTGTCTGCTGCCTCCATTCACACACAAATTTGCAAATGTTTACATTCACCGACTATGGAAACTGACGATAAGGACCATTTGAATAACTAAATCATCGAAGTTAATAAAATAATGTTTCATTCAGTGTGTGATTCTCTAATTCATTATATGAACTTAACATAATGAGAAGTTATTACACTCTAACCAATTCCAAGTATCAAAACGCGTTTATTGATCACGTTTACTGTAGAAACAACTGAAATACAGAATCTCTTTTTTTTAAATGAAAGTTTTTCAATTATTATTTGGTCCAAAGTTTATTAACAATTTAATAAATTGACAATCAATATATGTTGTGAAATAATTGGTGTATGCCGTTATAAATTTCAGTGACTGTATTGAACTTTATTAATTGAACACTGGAGAAGTGTGATGTGAGTTTGTTACTTTTCCTAACATGATATCACTACGGCCCAAACTTATATGATTTGATTGTGGCAGTAAACTGAATTGCATCGATTCCTTGAATGTGGATAGATGTAAAGATAGATAGTAGAGTAGATGAAAAGATAGACATTTTATGGACAAATGGATTTTTGAGTAGATAGATAGATTATAATTTTGACCAATCGTCGATTGCTATCCGGCTACAACGGGAAAAAATTCATCGACATCAATTCAATTTTCTGACGTCTGAGACAAGTTTATGAATCCATAAATGTTTATTCACCGTTGAATGTGAAACAAATAAGTGAAAAAAATTAACTTATATATTTTTATGCAATCCATGTATGGAATTATCATTTTTATCTGTATCTAACATTTCAGCCAATTCAGTGGAAGATGGAGTTATTGATTTTATCCAATCTAAATATTTCAACCATGATAATATGGGCATTCAGTTCTATGTCAAATGAAAATAACAATAGTGTATGTAACACTGCTAATTCGTGCATGTAAGTAATTCATGGTAATTAAAAATCACCATTTCACCTGACAGATTCGATGCAACTGCATGGAAGAATGTATATCGTCAATCCGGTGTTGCTTTGATGTAAGTCATGAAACCCGGTTAACTTCCATTATATTATTTTATGTATGATAATTGCGGATGACTCATTCAAAGAAAAATCAATTATGATTATCTGTTCAATACACAATCCTTCAAGAAACTCTTTATGAAGGCATCTCTATAGGACGTTTTCGCATTTCTCTTCAACGAATTAAATCTTATCTTAATGAACATAAAATAAAAAATAATCATAATGTAATCACCTGTTTGAGATGTTTTGTATTTTTGATCGTCGAGTTATAACCGTTCTTTATGAAAATCATTCATTTGGCATTCTCATTTTCGAATTCTAGATAGATATCCATGTGAAATGTTGCTCATCTGCATTGCTGATCAGATTATGCTCATATACTTTAGCGGAAATTGACTCGTATGAATCCCAATGTACACTAAAATTTTATCTTCTTCTACATTTCATATTCATACTTCAGTGGTGTTGCTCTTATACTGGCACTCATCATTATACTCATCAATGCCTTACATACCGCATCTACATGGAATAACATCATAATGTTTATAACGGTTAGTTGAATATTATTTCGAAAGATATTTATGATTTTGTGTATATTTTCACTGAGTTTTCAATAACTTCATTCCGACTGAATAGTTTTCCGGAACGACTCAAATATACAGAATTACTGATATGCTTATCTGTGAATTTCAGAAGAATTAGAGCGATTTAGGAGTCAGGGATAGATGTGAATTTGCTGATAGAAAAATGACGGTGATTTGTGGATTGTGTCTCATGCGAATAAGTAAAAACAAATGAAATATTCATAGGGTCACCGTTTGTGTTGCACATAAGCACCCAACTATATAAATTCCATACATTTGAATTTGTATTTCTTCTGTTAACGTGATTAATCTTCAATCCCGTTTTTTTTTCGCAATAGATTTTGTCAGCATTTTATGCTTTAAGTTAGTAATGAAGAGCTAATCAGAAGTTTTTGTGATCTCATTGCTTTTAAAATTTTCATGAATACATAAATATGATGCAATTCATATGTATATTTGTACGAAGAACGCCCTTTCAATTATCATAACGGTACACTTTGATTAGGAACGCTCAACAGTTAACTGGAGTACAGTGGTTGACCAGTTATTTATTAGTTATGTTTATCATTGCAAATACTGTAAGTTGACACGTCTCTTGTTTACTTTTCAGTTGATTGATATGACTGTCGGAGTTGGATTATTGACTAGCTTTGGCGATTGGTATGACCAGCTCATTGCGGCAGTTGTGCCGATCTCAACACTGATCTTTGCTATTCTATCAGGTCTAAGAATGAAAGGGTCTGCAGGCAAATGGAGGGTACTATTATTTATATTTTTCTTAGTATTGCTGACAGCTGGAATTGTCTTCAGCATTTTAGGTAAAACTTGCATGGGTGGGTGTAATCGTTGCGTAAGTTGTCCTTGAAGTATCAAATTCAATGTATCACTCATATGATTTCGTATGTGAATTATGAATTTCACATTGAAACTAACCTCTGTGAAATACACATAACAATGAACATTTGCTAAATTTTTTTTACTATGTTTTAACTGATCCATTATCCGGGTTTTACAGAAAACGATAGTTTGAGGATTATTCTGTACAAAGGTTCAGACTAAAGTTACAAGTTCTTTTGTTATACGGAGACATTGCGATTAAGATAAGTCTGTATTCGTGCTTGCATCACTAAGTCAAATCTTTCAAGCTCAAGTGTCTCGGTAACAGCAAAGATAAGGAAAACGAAAATCGAATGAAAAGTACACTCATCTGTTGTAAATCAATGAACACAAGCAACTATAATAATTGCTTTTTTGTGAACACGAATCTTACTAAACTGTGACTTGACACAATGCATGCTCACATCAATCAATACATTTAATATTGAATAATGTTTCACTTATGCTAAAAAATATTCACAGAATGATTTGAAATTAAACTTTGTTCTAGATTGTGTATGCAATTCTGTCGGCAGTTTGTTGGTTCGGTGCAATGTTTATCGTACGTTTCTGATGATCCATTAGGTTTTTATGTGTACATAAATATATATTCATTATTATCCCTCTTTATTTTGAAATGTTAAATATCATACTCCATTCTGAACATAATGATTTCGAATACCTACAATAGTTATTCATAATTGATTTTTGAGTTGAACATCGGTGGTTCAAACATAATCAGAAGAATGCATGTTAATGAGACGTTAAATTGTGAATGATCTGACGGGTCATTTAAAGGCTTTAAATGATTTGAGCGTGTAAGTCATTGCACACTTACTCCGCCAGTGAATACTCTTTACATTAAACGTTTTTATTTTCGTCATTTATTGTAAGACTAAAAATAACTGTTTTTACATTTACAGATGATTACATTGACCACGTACTATTTGACAAAATACATCATCTTGAAAGACTACTCTGTAGTTTATATGACTTTCATACTTTCGGTGGAATATTTGATAATGTTGATTATTTCACATCTTCATATGAACTATTTTTATTATTGTTGCTGTCTGAAAAGTTATCTGAAATTTGACGTAATTATGGATAATAATCACAAAAATATATTTTTATTCATAAAATACTTTGAGGAATATAAACGTGTTCTCAATTAATCATGGAGAACATTTTACATGTCATCAGATATTGTAATGTGATTGAATTGTCCACAGTGTTTTTTTTCAGAATTCCCTGCTAATAATTCCTCAACTTACAATAACTAATGAGTTTGATTTCCACTTCAGATTTATTTATATTTGATCTAAAGTGATGTCATGCAGAAATTATATGATCAGACTAGCGAAATGATGCAAACATCGGGTAGGATTATTCGAGAATTTGGGTCGACTGCTTCTACTATCAAACATGAGGTTGTCTCGCTGAGAACGAGTAGGTGTTTTAATATCACATGGTAAAATTTTGATCTGAAGATTCTAGATGAAACAACAGGGCTGTCGAAAGAGATTGTACTCATTCGCCACTTTCGGAAACCTCGATTATTCAGAGACTAGAGTTTGAGTAAATGAAGTCCTAGGGAAGGGTCCTGGTTTGTGCATATACATAAACACGCAAGTGTTGTATGTGTATGTGAGTCATACTGAGTCCAAGTAATACTTCAGGAATATATGAACTGTTCATGTCGGTCCCAAACAAATGATCCAAGCAACTCTGAGTAAAATAAACCAAACTTGAGAAAATTGAACAGGTCTTTCACTTTAAGAGAACAAATAGGAACCACTTATAAGTGTATCAGTGGCTGTGATAATCGAAAATAATTAGATGTCGATTGTTGAACTGCTTGCATGTAATTATCGATAAAGTACAACAATAAAGACTGTATTCAATTCCTGGTTCTCTAAATATATAGTGATTTCATTTCCTGTGATTCGAGGAACATTTCATCCGTGTGTCACTGTCACATAGTAAAGGTTTCACTCATTCAGATAAGCATTCAGACTCACATTTTATTACAATTATAAAAGTGTGTGATTCGAAACCTGAACGATTGCCTCGTCCTATTTATGGTATTATTCATGTTGAAATCGAAGTATATGGAATGCTTGTGCACTGCATACTCTGCAATATCAGACTAAGCAAATCGGAACACAATATTGTATCAGTAACGGACTGCTGAGACGTTTACATCAGCAAGTGTTTGAATAGAAGTTGAAACCCAGTGTATCTCGTGAGAACGCTTAGCCTGTAGATCATTAAAATGGTATTGAATAACACTTTTTCTGACTTCAATCAATCCTGAAACTCGCTTGACTATCATCAATTGTGTTTTTCGAGCAACAGCCTCAGATTCAATAAAGAAGAACTCTACCAGAATCTCGAGAATTTCATCCAGAATTTAGTAACTACTGTGCACATGACAGGAGTTAGTACTGAATTGTTGACTTTGTCCAGTTTCACCAAGATCTCGTATTCTTCAGTGAAGGATTTTTGAAAGCGATTAATTCTGATTTCGTCTTGGAAGAGTCAGTTTAGTTAACGATGTTGAAAGCAGCTTATCCTAGATGCATAGTGTGTGTATAAAGATGAATATCGCTCTCTTACCATATTCATCAGGGTTGCAAGTGCAGGCTTCTTCGGAATGCGATTGATTTTTTTCCTCACCACTAGCGCTTTTTGCTAATTTCTTCCTTAGACACCTTACAGTTATTTCATCCATTTCCATTAATCAATAGTTCATTGTTTTTGAGAAAATATTTTCGTAAATTCAAAGTTGTTCTTCACTTTTTGTTGAAAGTATTTTACACATCTTCCCAAATGTGATTACTGTTGTGGCTGTTGTTTTATTCGAAGAATTGAAATATTTAGGGTGAACGTCTTACTAATGGACAATCTATTCTTGACCAAGAGAAAAATGACAATATAATGTTTTTCTTCTTCTTGATGAGTATGAGCGCGATACTCGAACGTAGCTGATACATTTTGGTGGTGGTCGTGCTTACCTTTCCTGATGACTCAGCTGAGCTATACTGGCTAAAACATATGTTCTCAATGTTTCATCGTTCTCGGCAGGTCGATTGGTTAACGATGACACTGAGAGCAGCTTTTTAACGTCTGAATGCGAAGTCACACCGCGGGATACAGGGAGATGTGACAGCAGCCAGATGTTTCTCTTGAACAACCAGCATCTGCAGCGATGCTGCCTTCTCAAAAAGAATTTAAAGCTTTGAAATTCTCAACCATAAAATTGGTACACCTCACCTTACATCATTGATCTCTGTAGAGGCAGCCTAATTGCGACTTTAAGGAGCGTAGCTGCTAATCAAGAAAACGTACTTTAAAAAAGTGCGTGGCTGGTTTCCAGCAGTCATTCCTTGGGCTCTGCGATCACTCCTCTAGTTCTTAAGGAGCAACGGCAATCAACCTTCCCTTTCAAGTTCCTCAAGAAACACCATTCCGCGGTTTGTGCAGCCAGCAATCTACATCCGCCCTCATACCGGTTAAGGAATACGAAACCAAATTGCTGACAATCAAATGCTTCATACACATACTAATAAGTCTTTTATCACTTTATTGAACCTTCCTTCGGTTTGTATCACTTGACGCCACTGAAGCAAATAGTATGAGATCAGGAAAAATTATTTGCGGTCTGTTGAAACCCCGCACTAAATTACATATACGACCATAGAAACTCGGGCGTTCAATGTATGTTACGTCTCCGGAACTCGCATACCAGATCCGAGAAAAATCATCGATTTCATCTCACGTAGTCGAGATAGAAACGCAATGACGTTTAAGCTTCGTGTTTCTGTAGGCCATGATGCCTCTTCTCGTGGCCTCAACAGCGTTGGTTTGATATTAGGTCCTAGAGCCAAACTGGCTGTCCCACTAGATAATTGCTTGCACGCTGTTCGACTGAACAGGAGAGTAAGTCCTCGGAAGGTGCGTGACACTCACCGTCACTTTTTTTTCGTATATGCTCACGCTCTCGCTGACTGCAGTTCAGGCGACCTGAAAGATATGTTTTATTTAAAGCTCTCGTAACTTCTCTAAAATCTTAGGCGTTCTAATATATTTATAATTGCTGTTGATTTAATTGCTAAATTATGTAGACTAAGCGAAAAGAAGAGGCACTCGAGTGAATCTTATGGTTTTGTGGCTAATAGAGCTGCTATGCTCAAATAACCGCCTATTTCCAGCAAACACTAACTTTAAGCATAAAGATAAAATTCTTCTGATCTTATGACCCCCACATTCGACAAACCGATTGACCGTTACTAGATCACAACGTTACAACGCTCTGGTGCACTTGTTTAGACGCAGAACATGGCCTCGTGCGAGCGCGCATTTGTTTGCTCCTTACTGAACGCGAGAAAAATATCTCAAGGAAACCTTTCATTGCTCGAAATAATGATACTAGATCTAGTAATATATTTCAGGAAAAACAAAAAAAATTTAGGCAATCATGTAATAAGTAATGTCCGCCCTAAGCAACCTTGGAATGATATCAAAAAGGCAATATAAACTGCAATGATATCTTCTTGTAGGTCAACTGAAAGACGTGTATTTCGTTAGCGTTTACCGAATCAATGAATGCTCGAAATCTCATCCCAACTTGCTCTGAGGACAAAGAAAGGCGGAGTGAGCTCAGGAGCAGGCTGATTGAAAGCCTTTGCAATGTTCGAAAGTACTCATGGGTAGTGAAAGTAATGAAGATGGAGAAGGCTACGGCGATAGGCAACAAAAGTCATCTATTCAAGCTCACAAAGAAAACCGAAATGTGTTTTACACTATCCTGAGAAAGGATGGTCTCATTATTCATTCTCAGAACGACGTGCGGGAGACTCAAGGGATCGTTTCGATTCTCAATCACCTCAACCATATCCACTCATCTTGAAAGATAAAGAGACGTAAGTCCCTTGACTGTTAATAAAGTTGAGAAAAGGATGAGTAATGGAAAAATTGGAAGATCAAATGATTTAATTACGTATTTCGCTTCGCAGTGAATATCAATTAATTGACGAATGTAACCTGTAGTTTGTAAAACATTGGATGAGTTATGTGAATATGAATAACATTGTCTATCAAACATGTAATATCAAATAGGTAATAAAATGAAAGTGAATATAATAGGTTATTCAATAGGTACGCTTGAGGCTATTACGAGGTCAACTTGGTTGATAAACGCAAACGACACGATCACCCAGTGTCCTTTTTGGTTACTTTGATTCAAGTTCGGCATATAAGAGGTCTTTACAAGCGTTGAAAGTATATTCTATAAGCACCAAGCAGGAACAATAAAATCAAGCACACAACTCTCGTTCATTTATACATCATGAAAACATTCTTCGGACAGTCACAAAAAGAGCACACAAAAATACACCGCAGCTTATCACAGACGAGGCGTTTACTGGTGTAAAATGAAATCTGAATATCAACGGATTGTCCGATGGTCAAAAACGTGAGTCCTGGGGTTCTTACGTCATCACTATAAAGTTGATAATTAGTTTTGTTTGCAGCCGTATTGTCTTGGTCCTCATTTGATTGTTCTGCCTGCAGTGACTGCAAATGCAAATTTCCATTGTGGATTGAAGCACTTGCCAAATATAGGAAAACGCTCTGCGTTTTGATATAAACAAAAATCATTTTTTCAACGAATCTGATCTATCCAGAAAGGATGGAATAACAATAAATATTGCTATTCCTTTGGTCCATTGAACAGTTGTTGGTGGATTATTTCAGTGATTATATTTTTTAAATAATAGTGTAAATTTATATTTATGATGAATAATCAAATTATCATTTACCCAATCAATCAACGCAATCAACTGTCTGCTTCAAGTGGGCCGAAGCGAGTATCTTATTTATCTAGACAGTTATTCTTTAGCTCAAGCCTCATTTTATTTACTATATTCTAATTAAATACCGCTTGATGGAAGTTGCATGTCTAACTTTTCGTGGATTTCAATTATCGTTTCCGAGGATAATTTGGCGGTTTGCTAGTGTTGCCAAACATTCGTCAGATGATGTCAAGTTCGGATAAAGCTGCACTTAACGGAGGCAAACTGAATGAT